TAGCAATTGGATAACAAGTTAGCCAATTTACAAAAAAACTATCTATCATCATATGAAGTTTCAAGTCCATAGCTTTTAAAGTTTATGAGAAATGGCCCAGACAAAAATAAATATGAAATTAACAAGAAGGCCATGATGGCCCTGAGTTGCTCACCTGAAACAACTGTTTTTCAGAGTTGGAAATTATCCATTGTCAATATGTTCTTTAATTTGAGCATAGAATATATTTAAACAATAATTTGAAGAAATGCCAGGACCCGGGGCATTTAAGCTTTAAAGCTTAAACAGCGCCAATCAAATTAATATGAGCAAACTTGATAAAAGACTACCTAATAATCTTACAAAGTTTGGTGATCATCTATCAATTATTTCAGTAGGAAATGTTCAATGGATTTAGTGGCCCCTAAAAGGGGCCAATCAAATTAATATGAGCAAACACCTAAGAATGCTACAGACAAAGTTTGGTGATCATCCATCAATTAGTTCTGTAGAAATAGACGTTTAAAGGTATTTCTATTTTTAGCGTTAGCGGCCCCTAAAAGGGGCCAATCAAATTAATATAATCAAAATTGATAAAAGACATTAAACAAATGAAGTACATTTAGGACCCGTATCCAATTAACAATGGGTTAAAAGCTTAATGTTATTATCATTATTATTATGATAATGTTGAGGCATTTCCTTAATGATATAATGATCATATTTTTATATTGTTACGGAAATGTCTGACGGTCTGGACATTAAGTTAATTGGATACTGGTGTAACTGGAATGTGCCTCACAACACTCTATAAAATGAGCGATTTATACATAATCTACAACACAAACTTTGTTTCCAGTTATTCATTGTTAAATGTAAACAAACTGACTGAGTATTCTAGAGGTCTTCTGCATCATCAGTCAATTTCCACTCGTCCTGCTGGATGAGCATACTACAATTTTGTACTTGTCCTTCCTCGATCTCTACTTGTTAACACAGCGTCTACCATTTTGTCTTGTTTAAACTCTGTACAATTTCAGGTTCCGATCCGGAAAGGTTATTGCATCAGAAAAAATGAAGTTATCGTAAATATATGTAATAACTCAAGATTTTTCTATACCAGTTTTTATAACAATTACAAAATTACGGCTTAAATAAATATTTCAGCTGCATTACGTCGTTCATTGTTGATAACAGGATGAGACAGGATATTGTACAGAGTTGAAACAAAACATGTTCTAAAATGGTAGACAACGAGTTATCAGAAAAGTTGGAAAGTATCTAGACAGTATGCATTCCATGTGTGACGGTGTATGATGTTTTTGACCGTAAGTAGTTTTTAAGATTACTTTTGCCTACAGAGTTAAATACCTTGTATTTTTTATTTTATACCCAACAATTTATTCTTTTTTACTTTTTAATCATGATATGTGTTGTAAACATAGACAATATGGTTCTATAATACTTTTCATCATGCTTATATATGTGTCACACGCTGGACACCTGTGTTTGTTAATTTGAGGACAAGTGGAATTATTGATTTCTGAAGATGGTCAAAAAGGTAACTTCTACAGCAGAAACCAAACAAAAGTATAATTAGAAAAGAAATCATGTTGATTTTTCCTCTCAGATTTCTATCCATGTACATGATATTAGAATTGATTGACTACTAAAAAGTTTGGAAGTGGCTAGCTGTATGGCTAGCCAAAAGTTCTAGCTGTATGTGAGTCACATACTGGCATGCGAGCAGTTCCCGTACAGAAGCAGTACCCGTATTTTTCATTTAAACGCTTGATTTTTACTTGCATTCTTCAAAAATTCATTTCAAATCAAGCAGATACATAAATGAGACAAAATCTAATTGTCAGTTCGGCAGTACGTATATAAAAGTCTCATTTTAAATCACTTTCACCTGTGCGTCGTCAAAACGTGACCTTGTTTTCTCTGGGGGATTCCGTCCTTGCGCGCGCATGCGCAAAAATACTTTACAGGGTTTTCCACTAATACCGCCTGTTTACAAAATAAGTAGGCAATGAGATGAAAAATGTTTAATTATCAGAATGTTGACCAATATTACTATAAATAATAATTTTATGGCTTTGATGCGTAAAATATCATGCATACAAGCATGTTACTGCATATGAATGCGTTGGTGTAACAGGTACCGGGGTAATAGATACCCGCGTTTAGTCTACGCTCTATTTCCTGAATTACATCTATTTATCTCTTAGATAATGGTCTGTTCAACAATTGTGAATGAAAAATAGGTCCGATATAATAGAATTGTATAATTATAATGGGTTAGATTTTATGTACGGGAACTACTTCTCTTCATACATATGAGGCCTCATAAGTAAGGGTTATTCTATGTTTAGAACATGATGGAATTTCCATGATTTGTGTGACGAGCCGAATATTGATGAGTAACATTCAAATATTGGTGAGTGAGCATAATAAAAAATAATGATTAAATAACTATGATTTTTGTACGGGAACTGCTCGCATGCCAGTATGGCTAGCCAGGACACACTGTATTGTTTGTTTAGCCTAAACAGCACTTTTCAAAATTATATGAAAGTCCAAAATGCATATGCTATTTTATGTCTTTTTACAAGGACTTTAACCAGAAAACAGCAATTGTCTTTGTATGTTTACTTTTTAGAGATGAATCGCCATGTTTGCAAAAGACAGTAAACAAATTCATATTGATCCTTGTCATCTTTCAATGGTGTGTTTAGGTGCAGGTGAATAACATCAATTGAAATCGTTTACATAATTATTTCAACAATCCTTTTCTGATTCAATAAGTTTAATTTTCAACATCTTTAAAACACCAAAAAGGGGGGGGGGGATGATGAAAAAGGCGTTAAAACATGCGAGGACAAATGCCGGTTCTTGGTTAAAATCCTCCTCGAAAAACACAACATAACCAGTGTTTTTTTTTCCTTATATAACTGATACTGGAAAACGTCATCGTTCCCTATAGAAAATAGACAGCAAGTTTCCCAATTCATGACTGATAAATACCCAAAATAACACTGAAAATTTTTCTAAAAAATCAGCAAATTTAAAGGTAAACAAAAACAGTAATGGCTATTGATATTAGTGATAGACAATAAAAACCAAGTATACTGGTCAGGGACCATCAACCGGACACTTTTTGAACATTTTTCTATACAAACTTCATAATTTTAAAGCTAAAGGTACGAAAATTTGACACAGTACAGCTAGGTTCTTCTCCTAACTAACAAACTAGTTTGTTTAGTTCTGATTATGTTGACACTTATATCCGAGGCCTGTCAAGGAGGGTATCAAAATTACCTAAATTGTACATACTTAACTATAGTACCATGTGTCCAGACAGATATGTAATAATGTTGATTTAATTCAGATAAAAGCTTTGGTGTTCTTTTTTTTATTTTTAACATGACACACAATATTTCAGCAGCAAATGCTGAAGTTTTGGATATTCTATTGTTTACTTTGCAAATAATTATTGCTGTTATATGAGGTCAGGCATTGCTTTCTTGACCCCCAAATTTCAACGTCAACAATCTTGAAGTTGAAATAGACATTAAAATATTACCATTTACGGAGGTTGAAATAAATTTATTTACTTAATTATAGAAGAAACATGCATTTATTGTTGATAAAAAAGTGACTGTCAACCACTGAACAAAGAAAATTCTAAATCAAGCATTTTCGGGGCCGTCCGGGTTTGGTGGTTGTCCGGTTTTGGTGGTCCCCAACCAGTAACCACATAAGTGATATTCGTACCCAGTTCATTTCGTAATTTTAGTGTTTCACACCTAAACATTATTAATGTACAATTGTTATGATTATCTATTTTTTTTCAACCTCAAGTAGCGAACATAATTATTAAAGTTAATAATATATGGTTTTTAAGTGTATATTATGCATAATTTTCAAGTCTCCCTGGATAAAAAAAATTCCCAATTGATGAATATTTTGCATCTTATGTAAAATTCCCATTTTGAGTCAAACCAATGGATTTTTTCCCCAATATGTCCGGTACCGACACCAATCCCAAAGCAAGGGAAACATACACTGATAACATATATGCATTTTCGACTTTCATATAATTTTGAAAAATACCTTACAGCTAGACAATACAGCGTGTCCTGGCTAGTCCTGGCTAGCCGTACATAACTCACATTCGGCTTGAACTTTTGGCTAGCCACTTCCAAAAAGTTTTCTGAGGCAATAAGATTTAACAGAAAATGGTGCAGGTGGGAATCCGTGTCAGCTCGGCCCTAAAACGTACTCCGCCCCCGAGTCAGCTCGGCCCTGTTCCAACTCGGCACGGGTCAACTCGGCCCACTTTTTAATGATTAATATTTAGGTTTGTGTTATCACTTTTTATTGTTATTATTGTAATTATTTATATAAGACAGTTCCAGAACTAGCATCAGACAGGCTTCTCGTATCAGTAGAATTGCGAGTAAAGATAACCGATTGCTGTATTTCTGACTCGTGGTAGTTTTAACCGTAAATTTAAAAACCTTCAGTGTCAAACAATGTGTTGAAATATATACTGAGAGGAAGCTAAGATCACCAGCTTTTAATTGGTGTAACAAATTTTAAAAATCGGACATTTATTCGCCCCAAACTAGCGATTTAAACACGGCTAAATTTGCATTCTTTTGCAAGCGATGGGACACTAAGGGAAACAAGTGTTGCTTTTTCACGTAGTTCGACAGAGAGAGCTTATAAATATAAGACAAATAAATAACAATTTATTTCTAAATATACTTTATTTCGGCAGAAGTACAATGTATTACTTATAATAATAAGATATTTCTTATTATTCATTTACCTTAACAACATGCAAAGCAAGGTTAATACATTATATATATTTTTGTAAAGTGGGCCGAGTTGACCCGTGCCGAGTTGACCCGTGCCGAGTTGGTATAGGGCCGAGTTGACTCTTTTCCGCAGGTGGCCACCTAGCTAAAATTGTTAGTTTTCAGACCTGAATTTGTTTTAATATAGATACATGCCTTAATTCTTGGCAAAGTGACAGTGGGTGGATTCGCTTTCACAATGTACCCTTCTGCATTTCCAGTTTTGAGTTGTACACTAACAAATGGCATTTGGTCATATTCATATATGAAGTCTGATCTCAAAGCATCTATCACAACAAGTACAATTTTGTCATACAGCTGCTTCGGTTGAGAAATGATGTGATTGTTCAGCGTATAATTTACGAGCATACCGGTTCCGGGAAGCGACCGTTTTAACGGGAAAAATCCAACAAGAAATAGACAAAAAGAGTAGAATTGTATTAATAATACAAAAAGAAGAAATGTTCTTCCTGAAATCTTCATCATTTTTTATTCAAAAATGAAGGTCGCTTACTTTAGCTAAATTTATCTTTAATAAGCCGCAAGATATCAAAACTACAAAAAGTGCAAGTCAAATGTATTGAGAAAGGTAGATTCCAGTTTCAGTTTTTATTAAACCAAGGCATATAATATGCAACTGGTTATAACAACAAAGAAACAGAAAAATATCTAGATGTACTTCCTTTTGACATAGGCAAATATTTATGTAAGTAGTGAAATTCATCACCAATAGCTTGATACGGACATAAGGAACAGACCCTATTATTATGATCAATTGCCAAATGTCTGCCTTTTTCAATTGGTAATCATTGTTCTAAATTTACATAAATATTTGCCTATGTCAAAAGGAAGTACATCTAGATATTTTTCAAAACAATGAGTATTTTTATATGTACGATACACTAAACACTTAGAGGATGTATCAATAGTACTATGCCACTCTTGTAAAAATTGATCTTGTAGTCTAAGCTTCACAATATTTTTAAAGTGATTAATGTTATCTACTGGTTGGGGACCACCAAAACCGGACAACCACCAAACCCGGACGGCCCCGAAATTGCTTAATCTAGTATTTATTTTGTTCAGTGGTTGTCAGTCAATTTTTTATCAACAGTAAATGCATGTTTCTTCTATAATTAAGTGAATAAATTTATTTCAACCTCCGTTAATGGTAATATTTTAATGTCTCTTTCAAGAATGTTGACGTTGAAATTTGGGGGTCAAGAAAGCAATGCCTCACCTCATATACCAGCTATAATCATTTGCAGATTAAAAAATAGAATATCCAAAACTTCAGCATTTGTTGCTGAAATACTGTATATCATGCTAAAAATCAAAAATCAAAACACCCAAGCTTTTATCTGAATTAAATCACAACATGTATATATCCGTCCTGTCATGGTACTGTAGTGTTAACAATTTAGGTAGTTTTGATATCCTCCTTGACGAGCGTCAAATGTAAGTGTCAATACAATCAGAAATAAACAAACTAGTTTGTTAGTTAGGAGAAGAACCTAGCTGAACTGTGTCAAATTTTTAGGTCTCTGGGTTGAAAATGCTGAAATCTGTATGGAAAAATGTTCAAAAAGTGTCCGGTTGATGGTCCCCGACCAGTACCTTCTGTAAATGAAAATATTCTGACATGCCAAGATTACTAAGTGTTTCTTTCACAAAATTTATCCATTTAGAATTAACAATAATCATAGAGGACAAAGACAACATTGTTTTATAAAGAAGTTTACATATCTTATTTTCCTTAGCATTAATAATTTTACTCCAGAAACACAAAACTCTTGCTTTCACTTGTAAGGCTAATGGGAATATGCCTAACTCACCATAAACCATACAATTAGGTGTAGAAGCTTTTAAATTCAAAATTTTACAAAAATACAACTGAAATTTCTCTAAATTTTGAACTTGTTCGAATCCCCAAACTTCACTTCCATAAAGAAGTATAGGTACAACCATAGAGTTAAATAAATGTAGTTGCAAAGAAATTGGTAAACATAATTTACGTGACTTTTGGATCACAGAAAACATTGCTCTTCTAGCATTATCAACAAGAATTTTCTTTGATTTCAAAAATTTACCATTACTCCAAGGTAAGTAAAGTTATCTACTAAATCAAGCTTTTTACCATTGTACATAAAATCAAAGTCATCCTTAGGTTTTGACTTACTAAAAACCACTACTTTAGTCTTAGCTTCATTTACAACAAGATTCTATATATTACAGTACTCACTCATAGCATTTAAGGCATTTTGCAAATCAGTTTTGCTTTCTGCTAAAAGTACTGTATCATCAGCATATAACAAAAGAAACAATTTAACATAAACATCAATGACATCGTCACTAAGACATCCCCGAGTTGCGTTAGAGATAATTACAAGTCCTGTATATTTATTAGATACAAATTCTGACAAATCGTTAGAAAACAAAATTGGTGAAAGATTTTCACCTTGACGTACACCGGTAAAACTACTAAAGAAACTAGTCAACTCACAGTTTACTTTAACACAAGATTTAGCCTTACTGTACATATTGTCGATTATACCAAGACACTTACCATCAATATTATGTGACAAAAGTTTGTGCCATAAATGAAGTCGATTAACAGAATGAAATGCCTTCCTATAGTCAACAAATGCACAGTAAAGCTTTTTATTACAACTTAAATAATAATCAATTAACATCTTTAAGGAAAACATATTATCAGTGGTACCATATTGTGATCTGAACCCAGCTTGTTGTTAAGTAAATTGTGGCATTCCAAATACTCATTCAGTCTCTTATTTAGTATATTGGTAAATAATTTGCCAAAACAACTTAAAATGGTAATCCCTCTATAATTGTTGGGATCAGATTTGTCACCCTTATTTTTATATATAGGATTAATAATACCCTGACTCCAAATATCAGGAAAAATACCTGAATCCAAAATAACATTAAACAATAAACAAATAACATTTAAAACAGATTCATTATTTACATTTTTTAGATATTCATTTAATATATTATCAAACACAGAAGGACTTTTATTATTTTTTATTTTTTTTACAACTTTTTTAATTTCCTCAATAGTTATTTCTGCATTTAAGAAGCTATTATTACAACTTATATTCTCAAGATCTAAATCATCTAAATTGTCAATATCTAGATCAGATTCATTTAATTTAACAAAATGTTCAAAAAAGACTTCTTTTGAAATATTATTAACAGTATCCCTGCTATCCGTGCAGTATCTATTTAACAAATTCCAAAAAGCTTTTGGGTCTGACGACTTTAACCCAAGTATCCGTTTATTAATATTATCTTGATAAGACTTAATTTTCTTGTTTATCATCTTTTTATAAGATTTTTCACTAGACACCATTGATTGGAAGTTAGTATCAGTCTTATTTATTCTATAATAATTCTTATCTGACAAGTATGTTCTTCTTGCTACTTTAAAATCACCATCAAACCACTCTTTCTGACGTGATTTCTTACGTCTTTTAGTACTTTTTTGTACAGTATTTTTCACATCAATAATCATACACCGGCTGCCGGTACAGACCGGAATATCTAGCTCTAGGGTAACTGTTTACGGCGGTAACGAGGCTCTGCCGAGTTTCCGCTAAACAGTTACCCGAGAGCTAGATATTCCCGTCTGTACCAACAGCCGGTGTTTTATTCTTTTTCTTGCATATTACATGTCAATTATTTAGGAGCAGAAATTATGAAAACTGATATTCTCATTACGCACTTTTTTCTTATAGTAGCGTATGAACTTACAACTTCATTCATAACGGAAAAATGACGTCATCCTAACAACGCGATTCATTCATAAAAGGCGCGCGTCAATGACGTCATTTAAAGCACGCGACTTGTATTACATGGGGGTGTAAGACAGAGTTTTCTAGCACCGGTGTAAACGGTAGATAATCCTGTCTGAGATGCAAGAAAGTGACAGCTATCAGCAGCATTATAAAATAGTTGAGAAACTTTCTCAGTAAAGTTATTAATAGCATTATCACAATAAGTTTTACTTGTCAATAATTCTGAGAGTTCTACTTGTAATACAGAAACACTGTCTAAATCAAAACTATTTTTAAACACACCATTAACAGCTTTATCCCATATGGGTTTTTAACAGTAGCACCACTGTCATGAATCTCAGTGACACATAAACTATTTTGTGTTAAACATAAAATAGAATCAAACTTAATACAAAAAGAAATGCTATTATGAATATCCGATAAAATGTGGTCAAAATCGCAAATTTTAAAATCAACAATATTTGGGAAAACACATCGGGAAAGTAAAACATAATCAACTAAACTGGTATTTTTTACAAGTAGTTCGACCAACATGAAGGTCACCACCACATCTACCATTAGCTATCAATAAGTTTATGGACTTGCATAAGTCAATCAAACGGTTACCAAAATTGTTTACATTACTACTATCTTTGGAAGGTCTATCAAATGTAATATCATTATTTAACAGGTTAACAACAGACAGTTGTTGTCTAGTAATACCATCAAAGTTTGTATCCAATATGTATTTATCAAATTCAATATAATCTTTAAGTGTACCTGTTTTAGCATTAAAATCACCCATCAAAACAAAGCTGACTTCACCATACATAGTTATAATATCAACAATATTATTTTCAATCTTGTCAAAAATTTCAATATTAGAATACACTGGCCCTTCCGGAGGAATGTAGATGACAGAAAATATTAAATTTGAATCATTATACTTATACCAAAGACAATTTTCTGTACTTAGTTCTAAAACCTAAATATTATCAGTTCATTTGTAATAAAAAACCCCAACTTCCCCAGCTTTATTCTTAAATTTTTTTACGATTTTTACCAAAGTAGACATAACCATCTAAACAAGGTTGGTCAAAGTCATCTAATTTAGTTTCAGCAAAATGAAAAACATCAAATGTTTTTACAAAGTCTACAAAATCTGGATTGTTTAGTTTTGAAACAAGACCACAGACATTAAAAAAAAAGAAATATTAAGATATGTATCATTATCAACAGTACAAATCCTTTCTTTAACACAATACTTATGATCAGATGCAAAAGTTTGGATATTTTCCACCACATCACTACTATGCAAAATCTCTTCATCATCCTCCTGCACATCCTATAGGAAATTCTGTAACCCTAACTCCTTCATCATTTCCTCACTCTGGTCAACCTTCAGTACGCCAAAATATCATCTGGGGATGTCAGTTTAAAATTCTTTCCTTTAAATTTACAGTGAACATTCCCATCTCTAAAGTATGTTGCCTCCACACCAGGAATCTTAGACACCACTGCCTTCAACCTCAAACGTAATGGAGTAACATCATCCATGATGTAAACAGATTTGTACATATCCTTAGGAGAGGATTTCAGATACTTCTTGTATTTGTCCTAAATATAGAGGGAAATTTACGTATAAAAAATTATGTACTTTATGTGAGTCAAGCCAACCTGGTGACTTGAATATCTCGTTTATTGTTCACAT